AAAGGATTTTAATTTTTTTAGCAAAGAAGTATCTGTCCCAAACCTTTCAGGTTTCCATTACTGTACATAGAGAGACCTCCTATATTGGTAACATGGAACTACCACAACATTTATACTCTGGTCTAATGGGAAAGCAGCATATTGGCTAGTATTGAATCTAAAAATCTAATTTAAACACGTAACAGCTAAGGCTAACTACCCCACCTATAACATTTTACTGGTAGTATTTTTAGCACTGTGCAGGAGCACATTCTCCTACAGTTTGGGATCCTCCTGTTTCCCAGGAGGCTTCAGGAAGCATGCATGTCAGATAGGTGCGAGTTAGTTTTAGCTGCAAGGTCTACTTTAGCTTTCACTCATTGTAGTAGTAGTAGAGTAACTAAACTGCATCTTGGCAGATGGCAAAGAATTGTGGCCACTGACCAGAATAAAAATAGAAACTTCGTCCAAATGGCTTCTGGCAGTCAAGGGCAAGGGGACGCCATTAAGCGGTTCTTCCACATGTGCAGTTGTAGCTGTTGAATCTATTACGTGATCATTTTAGATGCATAAAATGGTTTAGAAGAATATTTGTATAAAGATACTTGTATCTTAGAGATGTTTGTATTGTATATGTGTGATTTTATCTGAACTGAAGAGTAAACTGGATGACAGCAGGACACTAAAGACTGTAGCAGACGTTGGCATCTCCAGGTGGGTAAACCCTGAGCTTTCTGTTTTTGGCTCCCAGTATTTAATGAACATGGGGACTGCAGTTTCATATCTTTTGTCCCAGTGGGCTCTTTTAAATGCTGCCTGATTTAATTGGTTTGGTGGGTTTAGTGTAGTAACTGCTGGTTATCACATACAGTATAATTCAGTTTTTGGTGCTCAGCAGGGGAGGCTAATTGATCAGCTCATGAGATTTTGTTTCTTTCACATTATTATTACATGGGAAATCCGTAATGATATCAAAGGGATTGCCTTTGCTCATCAGGGTCCATCAGGTCTCCTCTGCTCTGCCCCCAACTGCAGCAATAGATAACTGCCACAGTGATCTCACCTATAAACACTTATCAGCAAGGAACAGAGTAGTCCATAATATTCCGGATCTGTTGGAGGGGGGAGGTTCAGGTCCCATGAAAATAGTGAAAAAACAGTGTGTGCGATTTAAACAAAAAAAAAGAATCAGTTTCCTGTATTGGCTTCAAGATCCCAAATTATTATAATTCAGAATGTATATAGCCACAGCAGTTTGCGCAGCGCTTTACAATATAAGGAAGATATTACAGTCATAATACAAATCAAGATGAGATGGTTAGGAGGACCCTGTCTGTGAGAGCTTGCAATCTAAAGGGAGGGGCAAGTAATACAAGAGGTGGTAGCTGTGTGGGGATGAATTGTTTAAGAAAGTGATAGTTCAGTGGTTGGGTTGAGGTGGGATAGACTTCCCTGAAGAGATGAGTCTTCCGGGATCGCCTAAAGGCAGACAGAGTAGGATATGGGCAGGTTGGGGTAGGGAGTTCCAAAGGATGGGAGAGACTCTAGAAAAGTCCTAGATGCAAGCCTGGGATGAGTTCACAAGGGAGCTAGAAGAAGGAGATCTTGGGAGGAGCAGAGGGGACGGTTAGGGTGATACTTTGAGGGAAGGTTTAGATATAGCTGGGGGCAGAGTTGTGGATGGCTTTCTAAGTGGTTGTTAATATTATATTATTTTATCCTTTGGGCTATTGGAAGTCAGTGGAGGGATTGGAAGAGGGGGGTTGCAGGCACTGAGCGGTTGGTCAGGTGGATGAGCCTTGCAGCAGCATTCATGATAGATTGAAGGGGGATAGCCTGTGCAGAGGTAAATTCTACATGACCTTTACATTCTTCGGATAAGTGTCAAACATTCATCATGCATATACAATTGTGGACAGCATTGCTCAAAATCTGTCATTTTTAAACCTATGAAAGTAGAGCTATTTTACAATTTCCTGTTTCCACAAACCCATCTTTATCTTAATGTTCCATTAACAATTAATGTAAATATAGCCCCTCTTTCTGCATGAACATGAATGTAATGTTTTAAAGGTGGGGAGGTTTTCCTCATTTTAAAGGCAAATGTCACCTGTAGTCTTTACCAGTCTGATAACGTGATCTAAGAATTGCATTTATATGTTGTGGTTATACCATACACTGTATTTTTCTTCATTATAATTCACAAAGATTATCACACAGATTTTCACATTTTCTAATACGAATTAGATTCTTACATAGATGCCATGGTGTTTGAAACGTTTATTGAGAGGGGCAGAAAATGGGGCAATTTAAGGTGGCAGTAAAATACCAATAAAGGTGTGTGTGTGTGTAGTTATAACTGGTGTGTATATATAGTTAGTGAATTGAATATTGTGATTGTAAAGCTATCATGAGGTAAAATAACAAACGCAGTTAAGATATCATAATGATAAATTGACTCGTTTATCGATTATATTTTGGGGTGAATGGCTAGGTTGAACATATAAAAGTTGTTTTAAGAAAAATCCTAATTAAAATGTATTGAATAAAATGATTTATTAATGTCTGCTTTTAAATTAAAACGGTATCTCTTAGAATAGGGTGAGATATAGTGTTCAAATACAAAAAGATACACAGCTTTGAAACAAAAACATTCTGGGGGAAAAGCTCTGGGACTGACGTGCTTAATATAAGAATTAAATAAAATCTGCAAAGTTGTTGGCTCGTTTTAGTGTACTGTGACTTTTTAGCTACATGTGGGGTTTGAGTTTTGTTGAAAAGTCAGCTTTCTTTTCTATTTGCATGCATGCTGTTTTTCTTCATGTTTGGTATAGCAGGTTTTCCAGTGCATTATATTTCAGAAGTGAAATCTTCCACCGTTCTGCCACCCACGTTTTTGTTCATCTCTACTTTTACATGATCTGCTTCCTGTTATGGCTGTAATGAGCTCTTCTTTTCACATTGCTCTGCACACTTATTCGATTACTTCTGCTTCTCGTTAAAAAGAGACTTTCTTGTTTCATTCTGAAGCCAAACACTGTAATTTAGCAGCTAATGACTGCACTTAGTGTTATTTTTACCAGCTTAGAACAGTTCAACTTTTTAAAATTCTTTTATATTCATGTTTTCTCTTGTTCTTTTTTTGGCACAATTCGTATATCAATTTTATATCTTATATCAG